AATAAATCACGAACGTCATCAAAAAATTATCAGATCAGAAATACGTATCAAATCTGAACAATTCAAATGCATGTTTGGCTGTAGAATGAAATACTTGTTTAGACCGCATCGATGTGTCGTCTTTTGCATTATAAACACTGTAAATTCTGATGAATGTCGGTTTTTATAGCTAAGCGGGGCTATTCCACGGACCTCCCTACACATTAAACAACGTGATTTTAGCAGTAAAACAGGAACATGATTTTGTTATTGTATATTCATTCTAACTGATCAATACATATTACGAACAAATTTGTAATCTAAAAAGGCTATTTTTAATGTAACGAAAGCGCAAATCGTCTGCATTCTATACACAGGTAAGCAAACAAATTTTACCTCTGGTGTAAAATGGAACAGCGTAATCGAGACAATAATCATGGTGACCTAATTCGTTTCTCTAAAGAGGAAACGATCAGCCGTATTTATCGTTCTTGGTAGAATAGAAATAACGTCCTTGTTGTCGTGAATGATGCAGAATAACCTCTTCGGTCTCGAAATGTTGTTTGAAATATAAAAGCCTCGGCTAACGCCTCGGCTTTTATCTTTCAAACAACATTTCTCGACCTCGGAGGTTATTCTGCAACATTCACGAAAACGCGGACTTTATTTCTTAAATAAACGCCAGTTGCTCCCGCTAGCCTGGCTTACAGCATAAATGTCGTGTTATATGTATTATTCAGTTCAATGTAAAAATAAATTTATCATGTATACGAGAACAGGTTAATTTCACTGAATATTTTGCAATAAAATAAATCATGGATGCATGATCAGATCCTGTCTTCTTCTGTTTTTGAGGGGAAGTGAATGTGAGATAAGGTGAGGGTGTGTGAGAGAGAGGAAGAGTGTGCGTCGGTGTGATGTTTGAGTGTGTGTAATTGAATGAAGAAATGCATAAGATTATAAAATAATTACAAGTTCTCTTAAATTTTTAAATCTATTATTTATTCTAATTTCTTTCAATGAATTGTAATCTGTGAAAAGTATTTTGAAAAAAAAAAAACCAATTGTAAATTTTGTACGTTATCGAAGGATAAGACTCCCTCAAGCTTTGATTTTCAAAATTAAGTAATCTAAAAATCGATTCGACTTTGGTGGTGCAACTGCAATCTTCATTTTAACACTCACAGTTACACTGACTGGGATCTGAACAATGATGTATTTTAGAAAAGATGCCTAAATTTATTTAAGATAACGATAAAGAAAAGTATTCAATATTAAAATTTCATAAAACGATGCAAAATAGGAGCAGAGCAAACACGGACCTGCAAAACATCAGAGGTGGAATTAGGTGCCACGGAGGAGTGACGATCCCCTGCCGACCTGTCACATCCGCCGTGTGCTCCTTGTCATGATCGGGAAATAACGGAAAATCCGTCGTCAATTCAATGTATAAATAATGGACTAACAATAAGTATGAAAAACGTCAGTCAGCTTTTGCCTCAATGATAAAGGAGTATATATGATAAGAGCCAATTTTGGCCCTCTAAAAATCAACATTTTAGAATGACATTCAGATATGTTTAATTGATATTTATTTTGTAGAGGAGATTATATTAGAAATATTTCCAATTTATTTTTCACATTTATATGCACTCACTAGCTGTAAATGACATGAGAAACAATGCTATTTTTGCTATCTAACAAAAAACCCAAAAATATGCCTTTTTCTTGATGTTTTTCTGTCAATAATTAGTATTGGATAGATACATCTTTGGTAAAAATATAAAGCTTGTTCTAAGCTGCGCTCTATATTTTCTTGAAGAAAAACTGCTTGAAAATAAGCAGTTTTATACAAGATATGCTAATAAATGGTGAGAAAACGTGATTTTTATGATGTCATATTTCTAAAATAACGTCATTGTGATCAAAATGAAAATGACTAATAAAAGTCGCATATATAGCTGTACAAATTAAAGCTATATGTAAAGTAAAATTAAGATATTCATTTTAAGGGGCCAATTGAGACACTTACCACATATCCCTCTTTAATTTGCTGACAAGGTCATTGTATTGACCATAGAACTTACGAAATGATGACTTTAAACGAGACTGCTGATATTCTTGTTTCATCAACTTGTTTGTCAATAATTTACCTCGTTTTAGAAATTGTTCATACGAAAAGCTTGCTGTGATTAAATTTTTTGCCACTTTAATAAAGTACAAGAAATGAAAACTTAATAACCCTTTGACTGTAAAACACGGGTCTGGACATTTGGTGCTTAAAAATAGTAAAACTGTTTTTATTCTTATAAACTGTGATTTGGGGCAAGATTTACATTATGTCACATAAAAAATCAAAATAGTGACAAAATTAGGTTGATTAATGAAGTTTGGAAGGCCCTAATTTGATATTGTTTTCTTTTTTCGGACATATCATAAGCATCTAAAATCAATTTTAATCAATAACAGAAATACCTCCTAACCTCTAAATTATTTCTTGATACCGAAATCTTTTCAATGAGTGACCTAATTGCAATTAACGATTTGGATGTTAACTGTTAGACAAGGGTGCTCTCTTCTTGAGCATATTGTGTTGACATATCCTTTGTCGACAAAATTTCGCAATCCGCATGCAATAATTAGTACCTTGGGAATTACATTTCAAAATTAAAATGTTCAAAAAATAAATAAAACGTTTCTCTCTTAATAACCTTTCCAGGCCTCATACATTTTTCAAAAACCATCTTTTATCCTTAAAAAAGAAGTGAACTTCCATGGTTTCAGTTTCATGATCCTGAGATATTTAAGCTTATTCATTCGACTGTTATATCGTTAAGTGTGAAACTGAACTATGATTTTATCTGTCCAAAACACCATAAAACAGTTTAAATTATATTGATATCTCAAAATTTGTAATTTACAGCTTATGTGCATCGAGTTATCAAGAAAGATCGAGTCAGCAACATTCTCTACGGTTTTCTGTGACCTTAGAAGTAACAAAACACATGTACACCTCAAGTCATTTCTTTCCAGCATTGTATACTTGCTAAAATGGGAAAATCAAAACATTTTCGAACACACCTTCAAATAATTTGTGGGTTATATGAAACATACGTTAAGAATTATAAAGCAAGGAATTAGAAATAATTTCTACTTTATCAATATTATTTAGTTACACGTACATTTAAAGTAAAAATGCCGTTGGCCTATCACCTCGAATTAGTCACTTGAACTTTGTTCCACATTCTTCCTACAACGAGGAACAAAAACTTTACTAGAATACATATATTTCCCGAAGCAATCACAACAACCTACTGGACCAAATATACGATTTAAATCTACCGAAAAAATAGTGTTATATAGAAGCTATTTAACAAATAACACACATATACATCGCAAATCTTAAGAAAAAACAAAGAAAATGAACATAACACAGTATTCAAAGATTCGAAAATGTCTAGTTTTTTAATGTCAGAGGCTATTTCGAATTTCACAGTCACGCAGGCCTGTGCAACGAAAGGGTTTGTTGGATTCTTCCATGATGAAAAAACGTACTCGTTTGTTGCAACCACTATTGAAATAACGACCACTATTGAAATAATTATATCAATAGTAGTTAAGAGTGCATTTCAATAGCATACATAGTTAGTAACCACTATTGAAATACGACCACTATTGAAATAATTATATCAATAGTGGTTGAGAGTGCATTTCAATAGCAAACATAGTTAGTAACCACTATTGAAATACGGCCACTATTGAAATAATTATTTCAATAGTGGGTGAGAGTGCATTTCAATAACTGACATAAGTAATAACCACTATTGAAATACGACCACTATGAAAATAATTACTTCAATAGTGGTTGAGAGTGCATTTCACTAACAAACATAGATATAAATCACTATTGAAATACGACCACTATTGAAATAATTACTTCAATAGTGGGTGAGAGTGCATTTCAATATGATTACCATAGGTTTCAACTACTATTGAAATACGACAAGTATTGAAAGTAAAGTTTCACTGCGTAACTTTTATTATTTTAACCAAAATTTCACAAAAATTGGATTTGGGGGTGAAAAATATATAGATTAATAATTAAAGTGTATAAATTGATAAGGATGATTCTAGTTGAGCAAAACTTTGAACATCAATTTCTTTATATTCTCTATTATTTGCATCATTTTCAATGAAATCAGAACAAAAAATATGTGCCAATCCAGGCATCCATACTTTGTTTGTATCATCCATCCTAAAATGAAGTTTTAGATAGTTATTGAAATTATAATTTCAAAAGTGATTAAATAATTATTTTGATAGTTCATATTGAAATCTTTATTTCAAAAGTGAACATTATTTCATTAGTGGTTGCAACCTATGTTTGTTATTAAAATGAATCTCACCCACTATTGAAATAATTATTTCAATAGTGGTCGTATTTCAATAGTGGTTATAACTTATAATGTTTGTTATTGAAATACACTCTCAACCACTACTGATATAATTATTTCAATAGTGGTTATTACCTATGTTTGTTATTAAAATGCACTTTCACCCACTATTGAAATAATTATTTCAATAGTGGTCGTATTTCAATAGTGGTTACTAACTATGTTTGCTATTGAAATGCACTTTCAACCACTATTGATATAATTATTTCAATAGTGGTCGTATTTCAATAGTGGTTTCTAACTATGTTTGCTATTGAAATGCACTCTCAACCACTATTGATATAATTATTTCAATAGTGGTCGTTATTTCAATAGTGGTTGCAACACTCGTTCTTTATTTCTGGTGAAACTGATTAAAATTAATATTATTTTCATATTTCATTGATATTTATTTTATTAGAAAAATAAGCCAAAAACATTATTATTCAAAAGAAATCGGACTATTTAAATCCAAGTTCTTCATGTATTTTTTTTCTTCCTTGTCCATTGAATAATCGCTGAAAAAAGTTCCTTTGCCTGAGCGAAACTTGGAGGAAAACATATTGAAACATACACGGAAGGATACCGATATCAAATGTAAAACTGGAGTAGGAGTGCATTTTTTCCATTTGTGATTTCCATTTGTTGTCACCAGCATCAATATACAAGTCAGATGGCTAGCTACAGATACAGGTCTCGTAAATTGTTAGATTATTCGGATTCTTCGTCGTCTGAATCGTCTGATTCTGAGAGTTTCGACGATGAAGGTACGTAATCGAGCAATGATTATTTGTAACATGGAAGTGAAAACTGTTTGTCTAGTTTTCATTTTAAGTATTAGGAACACGTATTTTACAATCCTGGAGATTCCGTGTACAAAAATTGTCTTCTTTATGTTGCTTAAATTTGTCAGATTTTATGTGCAACTTTATGCAGTATATAGAGTTTTGAAATTGGTAAAAGTGAGTCGACTCACATATATGAATATGATGGCTTTAAGGCATCCGATTGACATTATACTGTACACAGGTTTCACAGGGGCAATTTAAATTATACATTGGAAGTTATATTTTAAATTTCGTTTTGTATGTTTTAGAAAATTTAATTCACTTTCAGAATCAACTGAAGACTCGGAGGAGGATCTAAGAGGAGCCACGTACTTATCCAAACACAGGGTTCGGGGTTCTGGGGACAAGGCTAACTCGGGGTATCAGATCGGCAATATAACGGTCACTGTTGTTGGTGGAGACATTACCAGACAAAAGGTTAAAGTTTCTTAGAAATAAATCAATAGAATTATTAAAAATGTTTTAGTCACCTTAACATCTAAATTTATTTTTAAAAATAACCATTCTTTAAAAACTTATTGTATTTTTTAAACTTCGCCTTACATAGACAAAATTGATGAAGTAGCAGTAGTAGTCTGGGTGAAATTTTAGTTACAAAAATCTAAAATAACTTACCTTTGTCTTCTGAACTTTCAATTACTCTATGCAGGTTGACGTAATAGTGAACACTACGAATCCTCGTCTCGATCTGAGCTTAGGGAGGGCTTCTAGTTCCCTCCTGGCCGCGGCAGGGAGGGGCATTCAGAGGGAGTGTCGTCAGACTTATACGAGGAAATTAGACCCAGGAGAAATAGCGGTCACAACAGGAGGACACCTCGCCTGTAGGGCAATATATCACGGAGTTCTGACCAAGTATACATCTAAAAAAGACGAACAGGTACTAATGTTCAAGTTGTATAGAAGTATCAAATTATATTTAATGAGCATTGGTTTTGAACAATTGGAACGCTGTGCTTGCCAAAATAAGATGAACATTTAATGAATTTAAACATTGAAACTAAAACTACTCGTTAAAACAAATTCTTCCTAGTAATATGGCATATGCATCCTCGCAACACATTGCCACCGACTCAAGGCTGGCATTGCGAGAATATAGTTATAGGGCATATTACATGTTGTTTAACTGTAATCAAGGTTTTAATAGACGCAACTACAATTTTCATACAAACAGTTAAATGGTTAAAAAAAAACTCGATTTTAGACTGAAAGGATTTTTTTATTTCATATCAAATTTGATTTCAAATTTTTTCCAGATTTTAGAAGACTTGGTGACAGAGTGTTTGGATCAGGCTGATGCTGACGGTTACAGGTCCATCGCCTTCCCACCAATTGGGACCGGATACCTGTCATACAATCCAACAAGAGTTGCTGAAATTATGTTTGAATGCATTGAAAATTATGCTTCACGAACGGTCACATCTGTGTCCATTGTTATATACTCACCAGAAAGTAGTTGTTTTCAGGTAAATATCAGCAAATGTTTCATCAATACTGGTTAATGGGTATCAAATGAAAAACTTGTATGAAGAGCTTATAGTAACTAGTATACTCTTATCTTTTTAAATATTGTCTAAGCATTTCTTAGCATAATTTTCCCTCTTGATCTGAATCAATATCAAAGTATGGGTCCATATATCGAATCTTTTGAGATTCGATATTGAAAAATAACTTAAGTTATTTATTATTTTCTTCCAGTCTTTATAATTTTATTTTTCGCTTACCTTTTGTTAAAGTATTCGTTGAACAAAAATATTCTTTATGATTGAAATTATGTTAATGAACAATAAATTAAAAAATTAACATTTGCAAATGTTTTCAGTATATAGAGTGTAACGCTATATGTATAAGGCGTATTACATGTACAGTGTACATACGAGGGCTGTTCAATAAATAATGTCCTGAACTGTATGACATACAATACAGATATCATATGACATAAAAATTGGCTTTCTCTCATAATTGAATCTTTAATGAATTTATAACAGTTCATGTAACCACTTTTCATCACATAGTTTCATTGTGAGAAGCTGGGAAACAAGGGCTTTTCGAGACACTGCATTATAAATGAATGGTAAAGAATCGGTAAACTAGAGTGAAAATAAAAGCTTCAAAAAAGCTGCTGTAAAACTGGTTAAAAATCCCAAAGAAATATTCACTGAAATGTGTGACATTTACAGCAACCAATACCTGTTTTATAGACAAATGAGAAGGTGGATTTCAATGATAAAAAATTATATAATGGGCATCAAAAATGGGTACCGTCCTTGCCAACAAAAAACTACAACACTTATGTACTGTTTGCCAAATTTCAACAAATAATACTTGATGAGGTAGGATTGACTTTAAGACACATAGCAAATTTGATAGACATCACATCGGGGGTAGTTTACACCGTTTTTAAGAAACGTTTGACGGTGAAAAAGCTTAGTACTCAAAGGTCACCCTATATTTTGATAAATGAGTGAAAACGGCAGCGTGTATAAATGTCTTAACAATTATTTTAAAATATCAGTAATTGGAGTTATCCACGTTTTTTTGATATTCAAACAGATAATGGAACTCGAATCTATTGCTTAAAATCCTCAAAACAAAATTTACCATAAGATGTACTTGACAAAAACAGCGAAGGTCTGAAAAGAGCAAAGAATTGCAAGAGCACAAAGACAGATTTATATGCAATGTTCTTAAATATTAGTGGTATTGTTGTTTAAATTCGTATACGGGGAGACAGTTTAATTTCTGGATGAGGGTAGAAAACACATTTTTTGCAAAAAAATCGAAAGGTTTATTAGAGGAAGGACCCAGAATCAGGAATCCACTACATTAAATTTCTTCATGACAGCGTCCAAACCCGCACGCCCTGACGAGTAAAGGGGTTCTACGGATACACAGATGGTTAATATTTTTTCATATTAACAATATTCGCCAGATCTTTGACCTTTTGACTTAATTATATTTCCAAACTTGAAAAAAACACCTTTCATAAGGAAGAAACAAGCCCATGAAATCATTGGATCTGCCATTTTCCAGTATACCAAGGGTCATACCCAAAAATGAGTTCTAAAATCAATCAGAAATTGGATAAAAAAGGTTACGGACATGTGTTGTAATAAAAAGAGATTTATAAGTATAATAATGAAGACTAAATTATTGAAAAGCGTCTTTTGCTTCTTTCTGAGCACCGAGGACATTATTTATTGAACAGCCCTCGTAGTAGTCATTCACACTCGACGTATTTTTAAAATGACGTCGTAAATGGTCTAAAAGTATAACACATTCATTTTATAACATAGAGGTTTGTAAGAAAAATCATTTAATGATTTAGGGAACGATTGTAAACATTTGTAATAAAAGAATCACAATGATAAATGTATTGTAAAAGGTGCATGTATAATTTTTTTAATGAACGGGTTGATGCGTGATCAACCAAAAGATTGGCTTCATTGGATTTGATCCCATGACCTACCCGTATTTGTTGGATACACAATATACC